TTCATTGCTGTCTGCACCTCCTGGGGGAGATTTTCCCTCACTTCCTGTCTTGTGTACATGTGTCACACATGTGACAGGAAGTGAGGGATCACCTCACCCTTATAGAAGTGCCCCCATTGAGGGGATTTCCCTCCAATTTCTGTTCTGGTGACACTACAGAAAGTGAGGACACTACAGGAAGTGAGGGTACTACAGGAAGTGAGGGTACTACAGGAAGTGAGTGTACTACAGGAAGTGATGACACTACAGGAAGTGATGACACTACAGGAAGTGAGGGTACTACAGGAAGTGAGGGTACTACAGAAAGTGAGGGTACTACAGAAAGTGAGGGTACTACAGGAAGTGAGGCTACAACAGGAAGTGATGACACTACAGGAAGTGAGGCTACAACAGGAAGTGATGACACTACAGGAAGTGAGGGTGGATTGTCTTGGATATGAAGACTACAATGTTACCAGGACAGATGGCTGAGGTTGTATCCGGTGTGTACACACCAGACTACTCTTTGCTGTCTCATATTTCCGGTCTCTGTCGCTGAATTGTTGTGTTGTGTACTCAGGTGCTGAAAGCGGAGACGTTGGGTACCTGTTCGGATTTCCAGGCCGTGCCGGGATGTGGGATCAGCTGCAGAGTCAGTAATATTCAGCAACTCCTGAGAAGCGACAACCAGACAACCAGCAAGAACCACAGAAACGTCTTGTTAGTCCAAATCGAGGGGTCCCAGGAGGACTCCGACCTTTACCCCCTCATAGAGCCGCAGTCTGCATGTAAGGGCTCACCCGTGTTATGTGTCCTGGGGGCGGGGGGGGGCACGTAGTATAGATTTAGTGTTTGCGTCATGCCGGCGTTACCGATCTAAACTCCCATAAAGAGACTTCATTGGTGAAAATCAATCTAGATCCTCGGTTCTCACCTGGTGCGCCATGACCCCGTGTCCACCAAGTCCCCGCGTGCCTTCTACTTCAGCCTCCCGCTAGCGCAGCACTGTCAGTTCTCACACCGAGCAGCCATTCAAAATATGCGGCCCGGTGCCGAGTGTCAGCTTCAAGTGGGGGGGAGGGGGGGAGCTATGGCGGCGATAGAGTTCCTAGACAATAAGTCTTCATAATGGTCCCCTGTGAGGACACATGTCCACCATCATGACCTCCACCCTGTCCACCATCATGACGTCCACCATCATGACCTCCATCCTGTCCACCATCATGACGTCCTCCATCATGACCTCCACCATCCTGTCCACCATCATGACCTCCACCATCATGACCTCCACCATCATGACCTCCATCCTGTCCACCATCATGACCTCCTTCCTGTCCACCATCATGACCTCCACCATCATAACCTCCATCATGTCCGCCGTCATAGCATTCCCCGAGCCTGGTACCTTTATGGGTATTGAGCCTCCTGAGGAGAGATCTGACTGATCTCTTCCAGCTCCGTGGTCTGTATGGATCCTCGCAGTGACATCTCTCCTCGGGTGTCCTCTTAGCTTTGAGCGTCCTCTACAAATAAAGTTGCACGGCTCGCTGTCTCTGGCCTGACGCGTTTCACTCCATGGGGCGCTGACCTGTCACCGTATGAATGTAATAGATGTGCAGATATAAGATGATTGACATTCCTCTTCTGTGCAGCTTCCTCCACGTCTCAGAGCCACTCCGTGCTGATCGGCAACCGCGAATGGATGAACCGGAACTTCCTGACCATGAAGAATGACACGGACCTCCTGATGACTGAACACGAGAGTAAAGGACGCACCGCCGTGCTGGTGGCTGTAGATGGTACATTGAGACGCGCAACCCATTCTATATATCACATTATTATATAACAGACCATTCTATAGGCCATAGTCCACGTTGGGACCGCTGAGTGGACGGGATCGGCAGGCAGTCATTGTACTTGTTTTTTGTAGGGGTTCTCTGTGGGCTGATCGCCATCGCAGACGAGGTGAAGCCGGAGGCGGCGCTGGCGGTCCATACTCTGCGGTCCATGGGCCTGGATGTTGTCTTAATGACCGGAGACAACAGTAAAAAGGCAAAGACCATTGCCTGCCAGGTACGTGTGTCCCC